TACAGCTTTATGCTGTGCCATAACTCCACAGAACACAATCCTGTACAAAAGAAAAGAGCAATTGTTAAAACCATTACCTACCTTTAAACAAATATACTCTTTTAAATGCCAATCTATAACTCATAGTCCAGAAAGCTAGGATGAAGGAACATTATTAGAATTTAAATGCAAATGATCATAATAATCAAACTTCCAACTATTCATAACTTAAATCAACTCAATATGAATTGATGCTTTAGCTGATATTACTTTTGAATATCAGGTCTTTGGAGTAATGTTTGGTAAAGTAAATGCTTTGTTGACCAGTAAGCCATAAACACTGCTACAGAGAAAACATAACAGCATTGGATAATTACACAGATTTACTTAACCAATTGTTTTATCCTTTCAAATAATATTAATGAAAGCGATCAAAAAGTCCAGTTTTAAATACCTTTAATAAGATCAGCACTTGAACATGGGAATGGTACCTATCGATATCAATTCTTTTAAAAGTCATATTCTCTTGAAAAAATAATATTCTCTTGAAGAATATTATAAACAAGTTGATTTCTATATGACCCCTGAAAAGAGATTAAGCCATTTCAATGGTTCCTAACATATTAGGAGTATTTTTACTTTTATTCTTAATATATTAGCTCCTCATTTCTTGAAGAACTACTTTAGAAGAAGTGTTTTACTTTAGTTTCCATTTCAACTCTCTCTCTTCGAACAATTACAATAGGAGATAATACATTGAGGATACACATGTTTTTTTAAGAAGCAATCCAGATGGGTCCTCCATGCTGTCTTTAGGCTCAGAGACAAAAACTAAGCCTCACAACAAAAACTATAACTACAAGAGGTGTGATTCCGAAGTCTTCATATCTGTTTAGAAACAAGAAGCTGAGTAAAAGACCCCTATCAGTTTTTAAAATTACAATATAGTTACCTAAGAGCTGTTTAATCTGGAAGCTATGAGCATAGAAAACAAATTATAACATCAAAAATATAATATAACATCATAGATGAGAAAAATTAAAGTGTTTCTGAAAAGAGACACTGTTTGGTTTTGTTTAATTTTACTTTTTTTCTTCCTCCTTTGTTGACTCTCATAAGTGACAATACTTGAGGGACTTGGGTATGTTATTATGCAGTTCCTGTCTTCAATAAACTCTAAATTAGGTAGCAATTGTCTACTTCAGATATTATATAGCTCTCAAGCCCTTAAGTAGACAAAAGTAAACAATTTTATATTAAAACTGAAGTCACCTGTGGTGTTCTCATTTGGACCTTGTGATTTTTTTTCAAGTTCATTCCATGAATCTATAGCAACAGATTATTTAAGCCCAGTTTGCTTTCTAGAATTTATGTAGCATAAATTCCACTCAGGGAAATGTGAAAACCCCATTATGAATGCTACATAGAATTTGTTCCTAGTGAGATTGTTAGCAGTATTTGTGTTCAGCTATAATAGTGAGAAAATGAGTCAATTATTTGAATTGGTGTTTTTTTTTTTTTGCTAGCCATACTGAGTCTCAACTTTACATCCTGTTTACAGATACAAATTTTCAAAAATTAAAGAAGAATCATATAATAAAGTTTTGTGTACTTTCTTATCATTTTTGACCCCATCTCTTTTTAATTACTGCTGTTTGTTATATTGACAGGTTCTTCAATGAAACTTCAAAAATATTTACATAATACTGAACTATAGCTGTCAAGTAGACATTTCTAAGCTTGAGATATATATTCATATAAAATGAGCATCTAAGGAAAGCCAGCTTGAAACGGAAAAACAAAAATTCAAACAAGATCTCAATGATTGTAAACTAAATATGAACTTCCTTTTTCTCAAATAAACAGACAAATTCATATTTGAATTTATTAAGAAAAAAGAAGTATCTATTACATTTTACAGTTCCTAATTATTTTTGGTTATTGCTCATGCCTCTTTAGTTCTGATGTTTCTTAAGGTCTGTCCCTAGGAATAAACTTAACTTAGGTGCCCTTTGGAAGGTTAGATTAGCTATAGTCTTAGATTTAAACAGCATCTCTGGAACTCTCCACATTGTTTCCTGGAGTTTCTTCTTTATATTAATTTGATATGCACCAAAATGAAGCACATACTCTTCTTTAAATTCTAGCCTTACTTTCAGCTTTAAATTCTACCATCACATCAACTACTCACTAACTACTACTTACTGTATGTAAGACCTATAGGGGTGCTGTCTGTTCAGTTTTTGTTCCAAATAACAGAGGGCACATGGGCATACTTGCTTTATAAAAATAGAAATAGAAACATAAATGTTAAAACCTGTTCCAAAGTAAGACCAATAGCTTGAGGTGCAATTGGATTTGAACCTAAGGTGATCAGATTCCAAAACTATGCTTTGTCTATTAGACTCTTAAATCATCCTCTTCACCCAAAAATGAAACTTCAAATACATGTTATTGTTCTCATATCTTTTTAATAGTACAACTGTTGATTTGCATCTTAATATTTTAAATATATACTGTTTTAAGTAAGACTAACCCAAGCATTTAGTGTTCTCTAGAAAATCATGATAATATTAAAAAGGCTTTGGAGAAAGTTGCAGCAAACATTACTTCTGGAAAAGCCAATTTGGTACTAAGAGCTCTAGACTCACTGTGAATTGTTAAGGCCAAGCAGAGACCAAAGTGTGAATTAATTAATGACATAGAAGACAGATACTACATATGCATGAGGAGCAGCAGATAGAGAGGAAGCTTTGCTTATATCTTCCTCAATCGTCTACCTGACTGGAAACCACGACCTGTCTCTATTTTAGTTTCATCTTTACAATGCCCACCGTTTGGAAGGGTACAGAATTAACATAGATAGTGAACAAATAGAAGACCGTCTTGACTTGAGACATATGGGTGGGTGGGTAGATGCATAGGTGGTAGATAGATGGATGAAGAGACCAATAGATGGATGGTTTCGTTTGTGAGAGGGTAAGTAAATGCAGAAAAGCACATAAGATGCATACAAACTTGTTTTTTACAGACAAGAGCATGCTCAAATTCTTACTTATTCCCGAAATTATAACTCCCCAAATAATAAGTGTAACAAAGAACAGAGTTATATCCTTTATTTTTGTTCAGCCCAGAGACACTTAGTAGGTCCTCTTATAGGACAGATGCCTTGCTGAGTATTTCTTTTTTTTTTACTATATTTATGCTTGCTTGTGACTATATCTTACATGCCAGGAATTTCCACACATTTCAAACACAAAGGAATAATGAAGTATATGTCAGGTAAGCAGCCACTGAACAGCTCCCCCAAAGCAATATAGTTAACTTGCAAAGTTAAAAATGAAAATAAACCTTTAGCTTCTAAGCTCAATTACACCTATCCTGGGCGGCTTGCTGGGGACATCATTTTGCCTTGTCAAGGATTTCTTATCATTGAGGAAGAATAAACACTCTAATTAATTTTTTTGCCTTTTTGTTTGTTTCCTAATTAGATCATTCATTATTCCCTGGAATTCAAATCAACATCAGATTTATAGTGGGAGGTTCCTGAAATATTGATTTGTTCATAGAAATGTCAAGCTCGGCAGGCAAGCTGTCTTATTGCCACAGAGGCTTTGGTTTAGTGATTTTGTTTGTAAATGGCCTATATAGTGTAATGAACAAGCAGCATGAGTCTTCACTAGGAACAGAAAGAACTTTAAGAACATTTATATAGATTGTCTAGCATCCTACAATTCTATATTCTGAGGATGAACGGTGAAATACGAATTGTAGTATATAAATCCTGATTATTAGAAGATCTGGCACTCACATGTCATGTCCACACACCCAAGTTGTCACAAAAGTGAGACAACTGGAGACAGATGCATGCAGGGTGTTGTAATTAGGACAGAACATGGTGGAATAGTGAGATGAAGGCTCTAAATGTTTCTGCAATTTTTAGCTCTAAGAAACGTAGCATGGCATGCCATCCACACAGTGAGTATTCTTATGTTGTTATCCCTCAGTGTTGAGAGAAAAACATTACTGTTTAAAAAATACTATTCTCTGCAAATAAAATATATTCTTACTTCCTTGGACAATCATTCTGAAACTCTCATGTGTGTGTGTTTTGTACAGTAAAAAAACCAGGAAGTACAGGGGTGACATTTGAAAGGCATAAGTAGAAAACTAATGCTGAATGCCTATATGATACTTAGAACTTTCAGGGATATATAAAAGTATTTGCTAAGCAGGGACATAAGCTAACCTTACTATATGGAAACCTCTTTTCAATATCAAGGTATATACAGAGTATATTTAGAATTAACTGAAGTCTGTCATTGTTGCTGAAGGGAAAGGAGTTTATAGAGACCATATGAAGGATTTCTCTCCCACAGTTGCCCCAAAAGAATTACATCAAGTTCCAGAGACTTCTTGCCATCATCCATTTACATATTAAGGGATGAGAAGGGCGTTTCCTTAAGGGATAACCCCTGTTCCACACCAATTCCTTAAGCATGATGCATAACCATCATGCAGGCATGGGTAAAAGCTTAGTCATGTTGAGTAGACCTTGGTGAAAGCTTTCTGCTTCTAAGAGGACTGGGAGGGTAACCAGCTGCCTTGAAACTGTACAAATGTGGCTCAGATTCATGGTGAAAATAAAATCTATTCTGATTGTAACTGTTGCCACTCATTTTGCAACAATGTGTGGCTCATTTGGCTAAGAAGCTTTGCACAGATATGCTTTCTGTTATACAGCATACTAGAACGATGTTTTCAAATGTTAGGAGCAGACTAGCTTAGCAAACTAGCTTGCTCTTTTGTTCACAGACTTCAGTCTGGTGATTCAAAAGCAGAAACTTTAATCTCATCCTACAAATCAGCTAAGATGTGTAATGTTTTAGTGGTGACTAAAAGAATATACTTCCTCAAAGAGAATATCTTAAGATTTTACTGGCTGACTCTAGATTTAGTACAGGAAAAATTAGCTGCTGGGCCTCCGTTTCTGGCCATCATTTTCAAATTCAGAACGATACTGTTGGGGTTGATATAACAACACTCACTGCTCTTCAAGAGGACTCTGGACACCCTGTACCCCTGGCAGGGCAGTGTGAGTATTATATGCAGTATTAACTTTCAGCCAATGTTTTCTCAAATAGCACTTAAATTTCAGTTTCCCTTTCAACTGGCTGCCTTAAATGAATTGAATTTTCTTTTCTCTCCTGTAATTTTAACAATGTGAAATTTATGTAGATTATGGGGAACCATAAATCAGCAAGTCAACCATTGTTAAAACGGTGCATGGCTTCCTTTGTGGATGTGCTACGTGAGGATGTTTGACACATATCCTTCTGGTACAAATGCGGAAATATTAATCATACCAGCAAGTGACTTTGAGTTTCATGAGCACAGTGTGTTCCTGTCCAAGAAATGCACATGTACCAATGTAGTAGTTCTTTGGACTCACTCAAATTATTTAAAAATGTGAGCAGATATAGAATTGTGTTTGTGGTGATATAAATTGTTGATTTGTGTACTCAAAGAAATAGCAGGAAAGATGGATAAGTTAGAATGTACTCCTGGTAAAGAGAAAATTAAATTGGTTTCAACTGTTATGTTTTGTTTGGTTTACATCTAAAACCAGAGAAACAAGAATAGACAAAGTAAAAAGGATAAAAGTGCATTTTTATGTTTTTTCTTGCTTTTAAATTAAAGATTTTATTTTTTCTTGCCTACATAAGAATTCTCATTGACAAAGAACAGGAGAAATTAACTAACCATCATGTTTCATTGTGTAATATTTATAATAAGCCATGTAACTTGGGACATTTTAGATGGAATATCCTTGAACTAAATTGATAAAATTCCAAGTGCTACACAAAATTTTCTTCTTTATAAAAAGCAAGTAATTGTGAAAGAATCCTTTGGAAACTGTAATACAGTTTCGTTCAAAGGAGAAACAGACATAATTACTTATTTGTTGTCATGGGAAGTCACCTAAATCCCTCTGTGTTTTTTTTTCCACAAAGCAACTGAAACTTAAGTTTTCAATTGTTCAGAGAAAAAAAAATTAAGTGGTAAACACTTACCTGACATTTTGTCTTTCATTAAAATCATGTTAGAGACAGTCTGAGAAATATACTATATTGACTTAGTTTTTTATAAATTAAATATACCTGATTGATGTGTATTAATATTTTTAGATGTTATGAAATCATTAAGGAATAAGTCAAAGTGCTAGACTATTTTTCTTAATTATTTCTCATAATTCAGATAATATCAATAGCCCATAGTTTTTCAAAGAAAACATAATTTACTTAGTATCAAGCTCATTGCTTACTTGGAAAATTAAATACTCTTTTGTATGTTACCTCAGGCTCAGACTAAGGTCTACCGATGAATTTCCCATGGATCTTCAATGATAATATGTATTATAATATTTAAAATGGTGGAGAATTAGGAAGAAGCAGATTTGTAGAATATAATGCTCTGCTAGGAGAACCAAGCCAGCCTGTGTAGAAGTGGCATTTGTGTTTCATATTTGTATCACATCCTTTAATGTATATGGAACCCTTTTGAACCATCTCACAGAATGTATGGGTCTCATAGCAGCTGCAAAGCTGTGCACCACATAGTACGAATGATATGGGGTCAGTTATTGGCTAAGTATGTATAACCAAAGTGTGTCTGACTTATCCCAGTCTTCTCATGATAAGCTCACACCACCATTATTTGCAGGCTGATTGTGCTATTAATATATTTTCCCCTGACTGCATCCTAAGGGGCAGATAAACTGCTGTTCATCTGGTTTATAAAGTCATTGTCAACAAACTAAGTGCTGGTACCATCAACCAGAGAATAATTACCAGGACAGGATACTATATTGATTTCACTATAAATAATCAAGTGTGATTATTATTTTAAAGATATTAAGAATAATTGGGTTAGATTGAAAACTTCTTCATTCTCTCATTTATGAAAACTTGAACATGGTTGATCCTGGAGGAGACTATATTTGAATGCACGTTGAAGAAAAAACTTGATAGACTCTAATTAAATGAATAATGATGCAATAATCAACATTACAACTGACTTGGTATTTATAACAAAATCAATATGTCCCTCATGACTATGTAAAAGGCAAAGCTTGTATCTGTGGTGTTTAACCTGAATTTATGTATCAGAAGTAAATACTGAATTCATGTGGAAGTTTATAGATAAAATAAAAACAGGTTAATATAAAGTTTCAAAATACAGTTTCTGTTTATAATAATACCTTCAAAAAACATAAAAACTAACTATGGAAGAAACTTTTAAAATTTTTACTGCTTTGCCAACATAATCACCGGCTTATGTAATAAACATTTTTCTTAAATAGTTACTCCCCCAATTTCATATATACTTTTAACTTGTATTAGCCAGTTATGTCAAAAAACGAGCATATAACAGTATCACATATGTGATGTAATTAGTGATGTTGTAAGCTAAGAACCTCTGTCCACAGATTTAGTAAGTCCATTTAAATCAATCATCACGTGTTCATATCTACTTTATCAAATCACAAAATTAACATAGCCATGTATTCCCCTATGCCTTCGTTTTTCTCTGTTTCATTTCAACTCTGCCTCAGTTTCCTACCTACATTTTGTTCTTGCAGGAGCATCTCAAAGTTTACACAAATAAGCCATGTAACTTGTCCATGAATATCCATTACTATATTTAACACACTTCTCTATGAAGAAATTCCCCATCAACAATCTTTTTCATCTGACATATGTTTGGTCCTTGAAGTCAGGCTGAAGAACTAAAAATCCTGCTTTGGCAAAATTCTGTTTTCACTACTGCAGTCAGGTAAATCACTATAGTTACAAAACAATTAAGGGCTTAAAAAACTGTTGATTATTCTAAGAAAATACCAGTTCTGTTTGGTTTCCATCACAGTACCCAGGAAAGGAAAACGGAGGCTTCAAGAGAAGTGAAACTCTTTTTAAATGATTGGAGTCTTCAGAAAGTATGTGATAACTGGGGTATTATTATCTACGAGTTAATACTTCTAATGAACTTAATAAACAAGCATTTGAAAATTTTAATTAAAATGTGTTTGCAAAACAAAAACCATTTTCCATTCTCCTGATGGAGGATGTGTGTGTGTGTGTGTGTGTGTGTGTGTATCGGATAGGTGAATTGTACAGAAGAAAAAGAAAAACATTTCCTTTGTGTTTGTCGCTCTCCTGCATAATATAAACCTGATTTGATCAGTTTCACCGCATTGAACTGCCCACACTTTTATATGTATTAAAGCTACACTGGAGATACTACTTGAGGGAAGATAAACACAAAAGTCACTTGAACAACATAGTGGAAAGTGTCAACTGTACACCCTCATATTTTTGAAGTTTAGAGTCAATCATTTCCTGGTTCATTTCTGCCCACAGATCTCCCATAGAAAGACAATGAAGAGAACTTGTCCCCAGGGAGTGGATAGTCTGATGGTACTAGCTTTTACATCTCCCTCTTCCAAATGCTTTGCTTCCTGACCAAAATTCTTTCACTTCACATTTTGTTATGGTTGTTGTTGTTATGAGAAGTGATCTCCAAAACAGAGACCCCTTTATTTAATAACTGAAAATAAATATGTAAAAATAGTAACAGTCACCAGGAAACCTAACAAATGCTTTTTGGGCAGATTGGACTGTCAAAACATCATTGGTAAGAAAGGCACTGAGCGCAAAGCTAACCCTTCAATAAGCACATTTATATTCACCAAACTAGCAAAGTGAGGGGTTGGACTAGAATATATCAACTCTAGGGACAAAGCAAGTTGACCATTTCAAAGAGAGTCCCCGAATGTACATGAAATTGTCTCTAGCTAAACCAAAGTCCACACTATTCAGCTGTAAGCATGCTGTATTCAAGGTGAGACACAACTGAGGAAAATTTTACTCAGCGGTCACTCCAGGTTATTTACATGGGGAAATCCTTCTACTTCAGTGTGTGTGTGTGTGTGTGTGTGTGTGTGTGTGTGTGTGTGTGTAAAACAATGGCACATTCTTTAAACAATGAGACTCACCAACCACCTCAGGACAGTTCTGGATTTTAAAAGGGGATTTTTTTTTAATTCTTCAAACAATTTCTTATATCTGCTCGTTCTCTTCCCTTTGAATAATTGGCTTAATGCTTCTAACCTTTTGTGTGATCCAACATGCCACAGAATAAATCACTTTAAAGTAGATATTTAAACCTTTTACAATTGGTGAGGGAAACCAAACAGAGACACATATATAAAGGGATGAATTTTATCAAGAGGCAAGTGATTTTCGTAGGGTTTTGTCACCAATGAGTAAATGAAAATGCCTGTGGTCCTGTACAGTATATTGTAGCTTTCAAAATGGATTCCAACACTCCTCCATACTCTGTCATTTCCAAACCTCAGAAAGCATTGTATATATCTGAATTCTACTCAGAGATGAGCTTTGTGCAAACTGTTGGAGGTAAATTCAAGTATTTTCAGCTATGTGAAGAAGTGGGAAAAGACATATTTGTATGCTATTTCCTCATTTATTTGATCTCTATAAGTAAAAATGACTGACATTTGTAAGTAATAGCTACCTGAAAGTATATAAACCTGATGAATCATAGAGGAAGCGAAATATTTCAACCTAACAGTATTAGAAGGAATGAAGTATCCAAATGCAAACATCTAAAAACATTATGTAAGATCAGAGACCACAGAGAATATGAAAGTTAACATCATCCACTCAAGGAGAATGTGCAATGGTAGGGCTATACGTACTCTAATTGTTTTATTTGTAGTAAAGATACAGCAAAAGATATGAAATACTATGGAATAAATTATTTTAGATTAATATAAATTATTTGACTTCAATATAACTTTATCTAAATATCTGTTTTTATATTAATATAATTTAATATAAGCAGTTTATGTTATATTTGGATTCACATTGTTCTTTTAATCTTTTTGTGTCTATGTTTGTATATAATTGTGTGCGTGTGTGTGCATGTGTGCATGTGTATGCACTTTCAACTGTCTTTCATCAAGATGCAGACTACTTGCTTTTTCAGCAGATTTTCTCAGTGGACTTCACCATG